GTCTTATATACAAATATATTTTATGTCTTCTGTACAAACATATTTTATGTCTTCTGTACAAACATATTTTGTTTCTTATGTACAAACATATTTTATGTTTACTATACAAACATATTTTATGTCTTCTGTGCAAACATATTTTATATCTATGTACAAACTTTTAGCCATTAGAACACAAGTTACAAGACGTAACTAAGTAAGCACGGTCTGAATTCATGAACAAAAACTTCATTCTGCATATGTAACTATAAATAAACGCCAAAATGAATGCCAACTTATAAATGTGTTTTTCTCACATCTAAGTATTAGCAAAGGTACTCGGAAATGATGTTTTTACAAATGAATGGTATATTTGGGGCGACAGTCGCCCTTCCACCATTTTGACCGTTAGTTTCCGATAAGTTTCTATAAGTGACATTAAACGTTACTTTCGTTACGTATACTCGTTTACTCTCTGCTTTGCAGATTTATGGTGACTTAATCCTTTCTCAGAACTTCGGCAGCTCATATATATAAAGTCACCAAAACCATATCTAGGAAATTGGTGCCATGTGGCATATGGATTATACATACACGTACCTAGAATTTATAAAATTTATATGGACGATATAGAGATATTTATATCACCATATACCTTAAGCCATTAAAACAAACTCCCTAACAATTTAAAAGCATACGTGCATAAAGTTAATTCTAGGTGTCGCCAATGTCAATTTATTATACTAATAATTTCTTTCTTTTTTCACATAAAAAAATAATATATTAAATGGTGTAATCACACAAAGATACTTACGTCAGGGGCATTATCGTGGCCAGTTAACGTAAGTGAAAGAATGAGGTCGTTCCCGTAAAATCTAAATTCACGATTGAGGTTTTATAAATCATTAACGTTAATAACTTCAGTTAACATAAATGTAGTAGTGGGATCGACAAAGGTTTTATGTCAGTAGGAATTATAAGCATGAATAATGAAGCATTCGTTTAATACAATGAGGTGTTGTTTCCGCAATTTCATTTTCAAATCCTGCATGGTATCCTGTGTTTCTACAGTAGATTCTCAACTAATACTCTTCAATATTCTACAGTATTACGTGTTTCATAAATGATAAATATTATCCATTGCGTTGCTTATAATGATAAATATTATCCATTGCGTTGCTTATAATGACAAATATTATCCATTGCGTTGCTTATAATGACAAATCTTATCCATTGCGTTGCTTATAATGACAAATCTTATCCATTGCGTTGCTTATAATGACAAATATTATCCATTGTGTTGCTTATAATGACAAATATTATCCATTGCGTTGCTTATAATGACAAATCTTATCCATTGCGTTGCTTATAATGACAAATCTTATCCATTGCGTTGCTTATAATGACAAATATTATCCATTGCGTTGCTTATAATGACAAATATTATTCATTGCGTTGCTTATTACCTATCTACCTGTTTTAATTCTATAAGGTGGATTAGACTTTATAAGAAACACATTTCTAATAAGGTAGAAGTGGCAACTTTTAGGCTTTACCAGTGACTGATCCTTCCCTTGTCTTGAATAAAAGGAATCTACTCAGAGATACGAAAAGAAAAGATTAAAAATGTTCAGGAATGTCTCCTGCCTTCCATTATTTCACACTACTTCCAAATGAAAGACCTACCTAAAATTCAACGCATGTGCAGTACATTAGGATAAAACACAGGCTTTGCAATTTGACAGAGATGGATGTTGAAACGTCTAGAGCTTTAAACAGAAAAAAAGGGAACCAATTTTCAGGCTATGTACCACTTCAACGAGACAAAGACATTAACGAAAATCGAAGATTGTCTGTTGACCACCTTGCCATACATTCAGATATATATTTTTTTTAAAAGTCTCAGTCGTCATTTCTCTAGAAATTAGATTGGTTACGTCAAGATGTCTCTATCAATGTACTCTTTTTTATAGGCAACATTGAGATAATAAGTAGGATATCCATATTATATTGATAAAAATATCAGCGAAGTTTTTGTAATTCTATTACAAAATTTAATGAACTACGTAAAACGTTACCAACATTTATTTTATCTCGTCTAAAGTGCAAATACTTTTAGACATTGGGAATACGTATTCGGTTCTTAGTTTACAAAGCACATATGACTGTATATATATATTTGTTTTCATCTTGATCAGCACCAAAAGGTTCCTGTGTATCACTAGCAAGCTACATTGCATTATTTGTTCTTCTTTTAAAGCCAACTGTGGCTTTAAAAGTGTAGTCAGATGCATTCGCTCAGGAACTCTTTTTTTTCTCTTTCTTTTCTTACATACTTTTATATCCTTTCACTTCAAGTCGGTGATTTATCTCGCATAAAGCATTACATCGATACAAAATAATTCATCATATTCAAAACAGCATCAAAGTCGACTTTGTGATGCATTTTCTCGACTTCAGTAAAAGATTGAGAACCTCGCCGAATTCTGATAGCGAATGAATTGGCAGCTGTGCTCTCAGTGTCTGCCAGGTGTTCAAAAATCGTAAGAATTTTGAAGGAAAATATAAACCTACATATGAAACAAACAATTATATTTATCATTTAAATCACATAATTATTAAAATAGCTACTTACGTTCCAACATTGAGATGAGGCTTATTGAGCAGATGGAGCAACAACACGCCCCCCCCCAGTGGCACAGCGCTATATCTGCGGACTTACAACGCTTGAAACCGAGTTTCGATACCTTTGAAGTCCAGATCACAGATAGCCTATTGTGTAGCTTTGTTCTTAAACTACAAACAAACAAGCAACAGTATTTTTGAAAGGATACATGTTACAGAATTGGGAAAAAATATTCACGCTTAACTAGGTAACATTGGGTTACCAGTAGAAAATATGCATAGTAAGATTTACAGCCAAATTCTTTGCTATACGACGAGAATTTTTGCTCATTTTGGTTGAGTTAAAATATTTGAAGTATCAGTTGAAAGGATATTAATATCAGTCATTTTGGGAAATAACGGCTAACAGTGCATAATACAGAAGATGGAACAGATTTCTTAAACTTAACAATAGCTTTACAGCTACTAATCTATCACATATATGTTCTTGTCCTAAAACGAAACACGCCTTTGCTTCTGAAGGAGGAACTAACTACAACAGTGCATCAAAATGGCTACAAAGATAGGAGAAAGCTTAGACAGTTTAGTTTTATTTCTTAAATTTCGCAGTAATCAACTAGGTTTAGGCATCGATACAGTATTTATCCTTATCATAAGACTAATGTTAGTTAATTAATGGTGATATAAACACCGTTACAAATTACTTAATATTCTTATACATTTTGAATAAGTGTTTCCACTTATTGGAAAATTATGTTTCACAAGTATTTGATTTTTTTAATTAAAAATTTATACTTATATGCCTCCTAATAAAATCACTTTAAAACGTTAATCAGTCCTCTAGAAAACACACGTTTCGTATGATATAACATTCATTGTTCTAAATGTTTTTGTTAAGGCTTTTATCTTTACAGTAACCTACAGCTTAGGTTAGGATAAGAAAACGTTCTGAGGACATTCACTAGTTCTGGTGAAAAAAAAAATCTATTGTTGATTATGAAATTTTATCAGCTGTATCACGTGATGTCTAGTCACACCTTTAAAAGCTTATTTTTATGAAGAACAAAACAACAACAGTAAATTAAAATAATACATCTAAAAAAGCTAGCGGTGCTCTTTTGTAGTTGTAAAACTTTCTTTCTGCTTTTGAAAGCAAGTCTTATATTGTGTAGCATGATTATATACTCTTCGGTTGGCTAACTTAAGCGGTGTTTTGTTCTGATGAATTTTCAGATATTTTTTTCATGAATGTTGAATAACTAGAATATATTAGAGTAGATTAAATAGCATTTACTCCTAATGAACAGATAATTTTGGTTATAAAGTGCTCGTAAACAGTAAGTCTCCCTGTGGCTCAGCGATAAGTTTAAGGTTTATAAAGCTCGAATCCCTTGTTCGATTCCTCCCAGTGATCACAGTGGAGATTGCCTAATGTGTAGTCTGTGTTTAACAAAAACGATACATCACAATTCTCAGACTTGATGTAAAAGTTATCAAATTACTCTAACAGCTTCAAACAAAATTATATATGTAATTACGTGTAAGCATATTCTGTTTACGCACTCTTTTCTAAGAGAAACAATCAGTTAAGATCAACATCCGTGTTTAGTAATTTATGAAATTATTTATAACTTAGTTCGTGGCTGCCATATCTAAAAGGCTAACACAGTAGGATGGATGAAACCAAATGGTTACTCACGATTCATTAGTTTTGTTGTTGTTGTTTTGGAGGCTTTGTATCTATGGGGAGTTTCAGTGAAATTAATTTTTGAAGATATTAGAATCGAACATTAATTAAACTACTTAGTAAAGATGTCTTCTGTATTTATCGAAATCTCCAAGTTACTACCCACGTGGAATAAAAAAATAACATTTAAAACGAACGAACATACAAGTGTATCGAATTAGTAATATAAATTATTCCTATTTGAAAATGTGGGTGTTGAATATGTATTGAGTTTTCTAATTCTTTAAATTTACGATTTTGTTTTTCTAGTGTAAAGTAAGTAAACTAAATATTTGAGCATATATATGTACAGTAAAGTACGTCTTGCACGTATCTCTGATGTCAGAAACTCGAACAAAAACGTTTCGTGAGACTTCTCTGCTGTTTAAGGTGAGTTGTATGGATGAGACGTGCTCCTACAGCTTATATATTATTGTCATAAATATGTAAGCAGTAATCCGACGTACTGTTTTATATAAACCGTTGAAACTACCAGATAACGAGTTAGACACGCATTATAATGAATCTATATTTTACAATGGAAAAGAAATCACATCTGTCAAATATGTTTGTACAGAAGATATAAGATATGTTTGTACATAAGATATAAAATATGTTTGTACATAAATATAAAATATGTTTGTACATAAATATAAAATATGTTTGTATAGTAGACATAAAATATATTTGTATATAAGACATAAAATATGTTTGTACATAAAAAACAAAATATTTTTGTACATAAGTTATAAAATATGTTTGTACATGAATATAGAATACGTTTGTATAGTAGACATAAAATATGTTTGTACATAAGAAA